CTGGGTACCTGGAGAATTTGCAGGATAATGTCTGTAATGAACTCTAAGCTTCTTAAAAAGTAATCCTTGCACAGTCATGCAGGGAGACTCATTATAATGGTGTCCTCAGGAGAAGCCAGGCCAGGTGAGAAGTGTGTGGCATCATAATGATGTCCTGGTGGCATGTGGAGAAACAGCCCCCTATGGATACAGCAGAACAGCTGGTATGTAACACAGAAGTCCAGAAAAGTCATTTTTGCACCATGACCAAATGCTTTTTTTCTGTCTAGGTAGAGCCCACACCTGTGTGATGGGACCTGTATACAGGCATCTCTGAATTTTCATCCTTACTGAACTCCTTCTATGTGCAAAGCAATCAATACAAAGGTCCTTGTCTTCGATTCCTTGACAGTGTCACATGGTAACACCCCTATTTAAACACAAACAAATAAAATGATGAAATCCAAAAGATCCCTGTAAGATCTGTGACCCCTGTAGATTGCATGTGATTTTTAAAAGTGTCCCCAAAGCCCCTGGAGGGACAGTGAGCTGCGAATAGAAATATCACGTCCCTGGGCTTGTGATTATGAAATCCAGAACAATGTTCTCATTGTGTCCAGAACTGGGCGTTTCCGTAGAGTCATGTCCTCAAAACGACTTTCTTTCTGAGGCAGGAAAGTGGCTGACAAGCTTCCTAATAAACTCCTGATTTCGTTATCTGACCATGAGCTGGCTCAGTTTCCCCATCTGTGACTCATAGGAAGGGTCACATGACGTGCTTGGTGCCACTGTCATTGTACCCTGCATTGCAGTTCCTGATGTTCTGGACGGTCCGCTGGAAGGCGGGCAAGGGAGATTGGGGGTTCCCACGGGCTGGAGCATTTTTGTGAGTCACCTCCCACTTCTACTCAGGATGCTGAGGAACACCACTGTTTTGTGACGCTCAGCATCTTTCTTTCAAACGTCACTGAACTTGGAGAAACCCGGCTTCACAGTCATTCTGACGGATCTGTGGAACATGCAAGCAAACCGTGATGGGGCCAGCCCAGGCTGCGCCCTGGACTCGCTGCCATTTCCTAGCAATCCCGACACACGGCTCAGGTCTGGGGAGGTGCTGAACATTAAAACATGCAGACAGTCCAGGATAGCAGCCATTGCCAAACTTTAGCAGTTATATGGGAAACCCACGCAGGTGCCTTGACCTTCTTAGATGCTATTTTCGATGTGAAATGATTTTCTAAAATGTAAATGGGCCATTGTAAAGCCCCATGTTTATTCTAATTCTGCACCACCTGACAGAACTGGGCATGGTGGTAACACACTCCAGCTGCCTCTGCTCACTCTTTCTGTTTTTTTTTTTTTCCTTTTTGTCTGCGGTGCCCTCTCCTACGTCCATCCCCACTGTGTTCAGAGCAGTCATTTAACGCGGCGCTCTAATTAGCAGTGCTTTGGGGTAAGGTTGGACGCTTAAAGTAGTTCCTCGCTCCCCAGGCTTTCTTCCTCAGTAATAATTAAAAACTGAGGACGAGATATTTAAACTGTTTTGCTGAGACGATGGCCACAGTTTCCCTGGAAATGTCAAGAGGGCATGAGGTGCGAGTCTTCAAAGCACCTCTGGAAAGTTTGCGGGCTCACGATGCGGCGTCGAGAATTTCAATGAGATCTGTATTCAAATGACCAAGAAAGAGAAACTTATGCAAGTTGGAGGAAAAGGTATTGGTTACAGTTACAATAAAGATCTCAACTATATTTAAAATACATTGCTTATGAAAGGAAAATAAAGTTTTTCTTAATATCCAAGTGCATAATTACGTGTTTTATTTGCATCACAATTTGTATAATTTTTCAGAAGGGCTACCAATAGGAGAATTTAAAATTAAATTGAGGTGATTTGCATCTCACACCTGCAGAGTGGAAGGAGATTTAACAGTGGGTCCATGCAGCTAACTCCAGTTTTAAATCGGACACCACGCGATGGCCTGAAATCTGCCATGGTGGGAGTATTCACGCTACCAAAATTGACAAGTGCTATGCATCAGGCTGGATTTATTGTTTTTTGATCATCTAGACTTGAAAGAGTAATGGATAAATGGTAATGATGCAGATATAACTTTAAGATGTGGTGTTTCTACAGCTATTACATTGTGAATGGCACAGGAAACTAAGGAAGCATTCTTTGAATATTCAAAAACTACTGCAAAATTCAGCAAAGAAGTTGCTCTCATTGTTACATTGATGAACAAGCCCAACATATGTTTTTGCTGTTTCACTTTTGTCTTATTAATGTAAATAAAACATCAATGAACATTCATGTCAAAACTTCAATTTATTACGTGTGTGTGCGCGTTTTATTTTCCATGTAGCCACCACTGAATCTTTCAATTAGATCCTGCTGACTTTTGAATCTGAATGCTCTCCATCAGCATCTCTCATAGGAATAGCAATATGTGTTATCTCCACCAATAGGAAAGTAAAGCAAAGTGCTATACAAAGTAAATTTTCATTAGTCTCCACGGTGTCTGTTCTTTGACACCTTCTTATTTCTGGTTCTCTGAAGATTCTCCACCAAGATTTCTCATGTTTTTGTGCAGAGCTGTTTCTCCTGGCAGTGTATTTTATTTTGTTTTTATTGTGCCTGTATCTCCAGAGATATTTCTAATTTCTGCATCGTAATTACTCACTGCTTCTTTACTGCCACCTTCCCCTCTCCTCATCTCTCAAACTGCAAGGAGTGGGAATGCAGACAGGTAAGCCAAGATATGTACAACTGTCGTAAATGCAGCATCTTCTCGGGCAGAAGCAGGACTGCCAAGGAAAAGGGGCCCAGGGGCCTGGGATTCTCCATCTGTCTGCCACAACTAAAGAGGAAAATACGCTTTTGACGTAACACTGATCACATGAGCTGTCCGGGGTGGGCAGGATTTGCAGCCTGTATCTCAAGTCTTCCAGATTTGTGGGTGGACCAGGCCATAGGCACAAAGGAGTGTGACTGTCCCTCCCTAGGCAAACTCCTCCTGGCTCTCTCGGAGGGTCTCCGGCATGCCTCGCCTCGCGTGAGTACCTTGGGACGACTCTCTGGGGCCTACTTTTTCTCTGTCCATCCCCTGGGGTTGTTTCTGATGCTGACGCCCAGATCAGCAGCTCTAACACCAGCACCCTACACAGGTAGTGACAGTAGGCCGCAGTCCACAGACACCGTCTCACAACCACCAATGCCTCCTGCCAGGGCTGCTGTGGCCCAGACAGGGCCCGTCCCGGCCGCAGGAAGAGCTGCTGGTGCCGAGTCAGTTGGTAGCTGGACCTTTCCATGAGCCACAGAGATCACAGGAAACAAGGGTTCCCTTTCCCTGTTTATCAGCCGTCCTTCCCTGGAGGCAGGTGGGAGTCCATGCGGTTTGGGCTGTAGGATTCAGAATCACCCTAAAATTTAATCCCATTCCCTCAGGGGGCTCTGGAGGCACATGCACTTGGGCCCTTCCATACTTGGACAGGCACACAGCCCTCTGGGTGCCACCACCCAGGGCCTCTCCCTGGGACTGTCGTTGTGTGAGTCCTCCCCCGTTAGAGGAAGGAGCCCACAACTACCTCACAGGTGGGTTGTGTTTCACCAAAGTTAGTGTTTCTCCAGTCTGACCACTGTGATGGGTTGAATCGGTTCCCTCAAAATTCACACTTTGACGTCCTCACTCCCAGCACCTCAAACGCTGACTGTGTTTGAAGACAGAGTCGTTAAAGAGGTAATTACCTGAAAATGAGATTATACACACAGGCCCTAATCCAATCCAGTGGTGTCCTTAGAAGAAAGGAGAAATTAGGACACAGACATGCAGGGACAACAATGCTATGAGGACCCAGGAAGACAGGTGCAGTCTGCAGGCCCAGGAGAGAGACCTCTGGAGGAACCAGTCCTGCAGACACCTTACCCTTGGGTTGCAGCTTCCAGAACTGAGAGAATAAAGTCTTGTTTAAGGCCCCTTCTGCAGCGTTTTGTCCTGGCAGCCCAAGCACATGAATACAGCCACCGAATGTCCCCAAGCACATTTATGTATCCAGGGCCTGGATGTTTGCAGCCCCCAAGGCAAAGGCTAGTGAAGTCCGATGTGACCACAGTTTGGATAACGTTAGAGCGTGTGTCCGTTCTGTAATGTATCATGTCATTATGTGAACGGATGTTCAGTTTCTCAAAATACTCAACTAACATTCACAATTCTGAAAGGAGCCCTGTGTTCAGCCTGGATCCACGTGGTCGGAAGCCCATAGATCAGAGATGACACAGAAACAGAAGCTCAGGGCTATGGCACAATGCATAGCATGAGCAAGTCATGTGGACACTTCCAGAGGTCACAGGAAGGTTTGAGAAAGGACATTATTCCTCACCTCGTTTCCATTCAGTAGGTTTGCATTTAAAAAGAAAGGGAATCTGCAAAATCAGAGTCTGAAGGAGTCAGCTGCACTTTCTGCTTTTGTTCTTTTTAAAGCAGCAATTGCATTGATAACCCGAACATAGACTGAGGCATGCGCCCCGTGGGGGGGAGCCCTCTTTAAAGCGTCTGAGAATAGGTGGTGCCGGGCAACACAGCAAGTGTCCTCCGGTGCTGGGGACCGACCTTTCCATCACTGCGCGTGCTGGACACACAGACCACAGGCGCAGGGGCGGGGAGGCCTTCCTGCCACATCCTGGCAAAATGAGCCCCTTTTCAAAGCGAAACAGCATTATTGATCAAAGCGTAGGTGGCTCCATATGTAGAGAAGAAACAGCCGGTGTCACCCTGGGCCACACTCGCACCCACGGGCACAGACACCCCCTCTCATTAAAAACGGGTTGGATTGCATTCCAGGCCCAGCCTGCAGAGTTAATGATGAGCTCGCAATGAAGCACCCGCATGGATGGGAGCCTTGTACTGCCCCGCGATGGCCGGTGTTTTATTAGTGGGCCCGAGCAGCGTGCCTGGCCGGCTGGTATTTGACACGCAGACAGGGATGTTCCCAGGCGCGCTGCGCGGCTGACTCACTTCAAAGTCCCAGCCCTGCTGGCTTGGTTTACACCTGAGCCAATTAGCTCCGGAGATCAGAAGAGGCCTGAAAACGGAGCCGGGCCCTTATTCCCGGGATGGAGAAAGTCACTTGATCCCAGGTAAACGATACAGAAGGAACAATGGAGGCGGGAGGCGGGCGCAGCAGGACGCGGTGCCCCTCCCGAGGAGCGGAGGCGCAGGGACTGGGCGTTGGCGAGCGCGGTCATTCACGGTGTTCGTTGGGCTTTTATTGGCAACAAAGGGGCAAATTGAAATGAAGCCGTCTGCATTCTGTGTGCTGCACATCAAATATGCTGTAAGATATGCTGATTCGCGCTTCTCCTGAATTATTGAACACTGAGGCTTCCAGAAATCAGGCAGTGGGGGGAGGCCCGGGAGGAGGGGCCCTGACAGAGCAGCCCTGCCTTCTGCACGCTCCGCTGCGTCTGCAGAAAAAAGGGAGGCCTCCAGTGCCCCCCGCACCCTCCTCAACTCCCCGTCAGCTGTGAAGTTGCTGAAGGGGCCTAGGGCCTCAAGACGGATGAGGCTTGCTGCTGTTTTTGTTTTTTTGTTGTTGTTGTTTGTTTGTTTTTGTTTGTTTGTTTTTGAGACGGAATCTCTCTCTATTGCCCAGGAGTGCAGTGGCGCGATCTCGGCTCACTGCAAGCTCCGCCTCCCAGGTTCATGCCATTCTCCGGCCTCAGCCTCCCGAGTAGCTGGGACTACAAGCGCCCGCCACCACGCCCGGCTATTTTTTTTTTTTTTTTTTTTTTTTTTTGTATTTTTAGTAGAAATGGGGTTTCACCATGTTAGCCAGAATGGTCTCAATCTCCTGACCTCGTGATCCGTCTGCCTCGGCCTCCCAAAGTGCTGGGATTCCAGGCGAGAGCCACCGCACCTGGCCTTGCTGCCATTTTTTGGTTCGAGTTGGTCAAGGCTGCGGCTGGACGAGCATCCTACACAGCGCAGCGATCTGTCCATAAGCCAGGCGGGATGTGTACACCTCCCACAGGTGGAGTAGGCCAAAGAACAGGATATACTTGAGTCAGGGCAAAGTTCTGCCCATTAAACAAATGCGTTCTGAACACCTTCCAGGGATGAGGTGACATGTTTTGGTGTTGGAGACACAGGATGAAGGGGGCACAGCCCCAGTGGCATGGCAGCTTGGCCTCTGTCTGGCAGGGAGTGATGGACACAGGAGTCCCTGCTACTGGCATCACACAGGTATTGTGGAAACAGGAGTGGAAATGGAGTTCCCTTTAGACAAAACGTACGAAGCAGCAGAATATGTCTATTTTTAAGAACTGGTGCATGTATGTGGGTGCGTGTTCCTGTGTGTGCACACATGCTTGTTTCTGTACAGTGAGGTGAATAGTGCACAAGTGATGACAAGGGAAACGTCAGGCAAGCACTTGTCACAGGGCCCCAAATACAGTGGCCAGAACAATACACTTACTGAAACCCTAAGGTTGTGTCTTGATTAAACTCCTTCATAACCTGAGATGTGTTTTATTTCCACGGTAAGCTGGAATTACTCTCCTGAATTCTGCAATAAGACAAAATCTCAGGCATTTTTTTTTTTTCTGTGATGATTCCAGGTGACTGCATCTCCAGGAATGGAGAATCAACTCTTCCTCGGGTGGAATTAGAGATCATGCTAATTAGAAGGCCCTCTTTGGACAGCTCGCTTGGAGTTTAGCCAAGACGTGCATAATTATTTTTCTAATAATGGGAGTGTGGAGCCCATGGCCTGTGGGTGCGTCTGGCTATGGAGTGAAGCTGTGACCACAGCCTATGGGGGACAGGATGGGATGACATGAGGCCCCTCCCCTAGAGGAGACCCTGCCCACTGCACATGGAGGGAGAAGAAGTTAGGGGCCCCCGGGGGACTCAAAGGTGCTGCTGGCTGACTCTGGCCCCACTTCCCAGGGTTTCCTTCCTTCCTCCTGCCATACCCTCCTGGAGATGGGGCCTTTCTGGCTTCACTGGGTCCTGGATACTAACCTGCTCTACACTCGTGGTAGACATTTGGAGGGGTCATTAAAGGAGAGGGGAGCAAACTTAGAGCACTCCAGGTTTTGTTTCCAAACATCATCCTCTTCTAGGACCCGTGTACACAGTTCTAAGGAAAGTGAGGTGTGAGGGTTACCTTGAGAGTCCTGGAATCAATGTGAAATGTGTCCTTCCTTGTCTCCCTACTGCTCCCACTCTGTCTCCTTCCAAGACAAGCACCAGCACAACCACACACGTATGTGCACACAGACACACACATATCATAAGTACATACATGCATGCACACAGCAAGGCACAGGCACATGTATGCATCACTGGTACATGCGTGCATACACATAGCACACACATGCATCATAGGTACATACACATATGCACACAGCAAGACACAGGCATACACATGCATCACGGGTACATGCACACACACAGGCACACACATGCATCATGGGTACATGCATGAACATACAGGCACACACGTGCATCAGGGGTACATGTGTGTACACACAGGTACACACAGGCATCACCCATACATGCATGCACACACAGGCACATACATGCATCATGGATACATGCACACACACACAGGCACACACAGGCACATGCCTCATGGATACATGCATTCATGCACACAGCACAGGCACAGACACAGGTACACACATGTTGATATGGTTTAGCTGTATTCCCACCCAAATCTCATCTTGAATTTCCACCTGTTGTGGGAGGGACCTGGTCAGAGGTAATTGAATCATGCAGGTGGGTCTTTCCTGTGCTGTTCTTGTGATAGTGAATAAGTCTCACAAGATATGTTGGTTTTAAAAATGGGAGTCTCCCTGCACAAGCTCTCTCTCTGCCTACTGCCATCCGTGTAAGACGTGACTTGCTCATCCTTGCCTTCTGCCATGATTGTGAGGCCTCCCCAGTCACGTGGAACTCTGAGTCCAGTTAAACCCCTTTCTTTTATAAATTGCCCGGTCTTGGGTATGTCTTTGTCAGCAGCATGAAAACGGACTAATACACACGTCTACTGCTTTCCTTTGTGTGTGGCTGCCCAAGGTTCTTGTGGGTTGTCTGTACTCACTCTCCAGGCAAAGCCCTTTCCACCGCCTCCTCGTAGCTCAGCACTACACAACCCTCTCTGTGCAGCCACATGGCCACCTTCCCCAGAGAGCCTTGATTGTCTCCCCTGAAAAGAACAGCCTGCATTGCATTTTTCCCATAGCATTTCTGTTTGGTAAAGCAGTGAAGCAGACAGATCGTCTCCCAACTGGACAAAAATTTCTCCAAATGCAGGATTAATTCGTTATTTTAGTAAATGTGTATTGAACGTTGACCACATGCCAGAACCCACACCGAATGCTGAAGTGGGAGGGGTGGCAGGTGCTCAGAGACAACGTCATCACTGGTGAGGGGCACCCAGTGAGGCGCAGAGACCCCTCTGCCAGACGTTGGCTTGGTCCTGCTGTGATTCAAGGTGCACTGTTAGTAAGAGACACAGACAAACATTCCAATGGCAGTGACTTGCAACAATCATCATTTTAATTTATTCTTCACAAACTTGTATTATTAAAATGGCTAAATACTTTCCAGCTAGGAATTAGGTGTTAAAAATTAGAGCTGAAGTAACAAACGTGTCTCATACTGGGACATCTTTTCCTTCTGACAACTTTCGGTTCTGCTGAAACGCTGTTAAAACACGCATGCCAAGATAGTTGGAGTGGGTGGCTGTACAGGTGAGTGGCTGAGCTTTTAGAGTGGCAGCTGGATGCTTTCTAACCGTCTTAGCCAGGTGTGCGTGGGGCCACCCATTGACCAAGCAGCCCTGGATCCCTTCCTGTGTCCCAGGGTTCACATGTTAGATTCAACAACATGGACACAGCTTCACAGTGAGGTCTTAACTGCATCCCCAAGTTTAAAAACATTGATTTCAGTTGTTTGTTTGTTTGTTTGTTTACTTGTTTGTGATGGAGTCTCAATCTGCTGCCTGGATGGAGTGCAGTGGCACCATGTCGGCTCACTGCAACCTCCCGGGTTCAAGTAATTCTCCTGCCTCAGCGTCCCGAGTAGCTGGGATTATAGGTGCCCACCACTATGTCCAGCTAATTTTTGTATTTCTTTTAGTAGGGATGGGGTTTCACCATGTTGGCCAGGCTGGTCTCAAACTCCTGACCTCAGGTAATACGCCTGCCTCAGCCTCCTAAAGTGCTGGGATTACAGGCATGAGCCATTGTGCCCGGCTTAAGTGCAGTTTTAGGAAGGGGCTCCTCCCCACTTTTATGGGGGCTGGGCTCTGGTGGAGGGCAAGTGTTACCCATTTTGTAAATAGATGAGCAGAGCCTGTGACGCCGACTGGGGAGAGCTGAGATTCCTGGGCAGCTGAGAGATTTGCTGCCGGGACCTGAACCCCTGGACCACATCTCCCACCCACAGCTGGCTCTCGGGGCCCCTATGGCTGCTGTAGAGGATGAGGTCAGGCAGGCATGCGCTCTTTTCATTATCAGTCTTTAGCCCCAAATGCTTGTGCAGGAGCCCAGGCTCTGAGGAGCTGGACTGACCACACAGGAGCCCAGAGCCCTCAACCTGACAAGGCCCAGCCTCCCTCCAAGGCTGCCTCCCCTCGGACCCACTGCCTGCTTGCCACAAAGGCAGGGAGCATTACTGGCCTGAGCCAGCTTGCCGGCGGGGAGGGGCCCCAGGGCACAGGCCAGCGCAGACCCCCAACAGCAGCAGGGTGGGTGGCTCCAGGAAGCAAAGCCATCATGTGGCTTGGACATGCAGCGGCACCCAGGATCTCTAACTGGAGCCCACACTCCCTGAGCCCCTGGGTCAGAATATCAGGTCTCCTATCCATCTTCTGGGCTGGAAGTGGTGCCATTTACTATGATATTTACTCCAGCAAACAGCAGTTAATAAGCACTTCTAGTAACGTTTCAAAGGCCTCTGTGTTTGGAGAGCAGGAGGCGTATTTCCCACTACGCCACCTGCAATGGACGGAATGAGTTCCCCCGCATTCTGTGTTGAGCTTGTCTCCCCCAGTGTGATGGTGTGAGGAGCTGGAGCCTCTGGGAGATGATGAGGTGGGAAAGGTGGAGTCTCAAAAACAAGATCAGAGCCCTCACCAACGGGGCCCAGGGAGCTCTCCTGCATCCTCTGCAGTGTGAGGACACAGTGAGAAGTCGGCAGTTGCAAGAGCCCCCATCAGAGCCCAACCCTGCTGGTGCCCTGATCTCCGACTTCCAGTCTCCAGAACTGTGAGAAATGCTTGTTTATTGCCTAAAAGTCACCTGGTCCGTGGTATTTTGTTATAGACCTCAAGCTAAGACACCTCCCATGAAATTCACATACCCCTTGTTCATGGACATCCAGAATTAAGCAAACGTCATTGAATATCTTGGGCCGTCCAGCAAACGTCTCTGGGAATGCAGACATGAATTCACCTCTGCGAAATATTGGCATGTAAAATTCCCAGGCATATAATTGTGGATTTCTGCACCATATCTCCTCATGGCAGGTGTGAGAGACACTTCCATGTAGACACACCCTGTGATCCACATACGAGAGAGCTGTTATCACGGTTTCCAGGGCTGGTGCACGTGTGTGTGTGAGCCCACTCCCACGTGCCGGGTTGGAGGTACACAGATTCCCAACACACATGCTGTCCTCAGATGGCCAGGCTCACAGTCCCTCCAAACAGAGGAGGAATTGGAAAAAGGAAAGCATCCGAATAGGTACACAGGAGGCTGGAGGACTCCAGTCAGACAAATTAATGCTTCATCATGGTTTATGTCTAAATTAGATGAACAGACCACCGATCCCTTTCCACAGAGCCCTAGGACTCCTCCAAGGCACAGAAGGAGATTTGGGTACCACAGAGCCGCCCTACGAGGGAGCTGTGGCTGGCAGCGACGGCCATCCCCTCCTACCAGGCATTCTCCCAGACCGTGCAGACATTTGATTATATGAAACAGGAGGAAATCATTTCTTGGTGCTCCATATAAAAATAGTTCTTTGGCAGATAGCCTCTTCTCTTCATTAAATATTTAATATTTTACATCCAGAGTTGTGTTAGAAATCTGGCCTGAAATGTCAAAAACCTAGGTGTGGTGCTAAGACTCAGATTGTCAATATGGAAATAAATTCTTCCTGATTTTCTGAGAACTGAAATCTCCTCTGAGGGCCCACCCTCAGTTCCCTGATTCTTAACAAGGGCGGAGTGGGTGACTGTAAACATTGGCCCAGGCTGGTTTCCGGTTTTGTAAATAAAGCTTTATTGGGACTCAGCCATGCCATTCATGCCACAGCATCTGTAGCTACTTTCACACCACAATGGCAAGGCTGAGTAGCTGCCCAGGAGACCACCCGACCTTCAACACCCAGCTGTTTATGGAAAAAGTCTGCACCCCTGTTTTGAAAGAGCTTAGATATGTAGGCATTGGCAGACACACAAACCCACAGTCACCTTGGTAAGGCTTGGGCTGAACTTGGGAACAAGAGCAGACCGAGGCATGGGGCTCATTGCTCGGCCAGAGAAACCAACTTGATTAGAAGGCGCCATCTGGAAGAAGCATCTCCCAGCGCTGGAGATGGGAAAGATCCAACTGGATGGTGGTTCCAAGGGTGAAAGGCTAGATCCTCTCTTCCACTGCTGAGGTGTCCCCACATGAACGTGGAGGCAGGGGTCAGTCCCCGTGTTTCTCAGCACGACGAGGCCAGGAATGCAGGGACACCAAAGGTGACTCTAAGGGGCCAGTGAGCAGAAGCCAGAGCAGCCCCTCCCTCGGAGTGCTTGTCTCTCCCCAGCTGCAGACACCCCACGGGCTACCCATGGCCTGGGACCTGTGCATGTCAGAGAGGAGCCAGCCTGGTAAGTCTCGTTCTCATGCAGAGGAAGCAGCCCTGGGGCAGAGGGAGGGGCCGCCAGCCAGTCGAGCCCACTCAGGGAAGCAGAGCCACCAAGACCTAGGGGAAGGTGGCTCAGAGAGAAATTGCCCCCCACCCACCTGTGGAAGCCGGAGAACTGCAGGTCCAGGAGTCCAGGAGGGGCCACCAGCCAGCCAGTGGGCCCAGTGTCCTGGGATGGCCCCTGACTCTGATGCCAGCGACAATGACTCCTCTCTTTGTCTTTCCAGGCTAGAGGTAATGCCTTGCTGTTGCTTAGAGCTCCAGGTTGCTTCTCAGTGCCTTGTTTGACCTCTCAGCCATCCCAGCACTGTTTTAACTATATCCTGGTGTTCAGTCTCATGTTTGCCTCTCTGGACTCCTAATGATGGGGGCAGGTGTTCAGAACACTCCTCCCCTTTGGACCACACAAGGATGTAAGCTTGGGCCAGAGTGTACATTTCCATTTATCAGAATCTTGGCAGAGACCTGGGAAGCGGTGTGGACGGGCAGTGTCAGAGTGTGAATGGCACATTTTAAAGAACCAGGGGTGAAATCAATGCAACATGAAGCCACAGCAACCAGGGAGCCCCAGGTCACTGGGGCAAGGTGGTGATGAAGGCAGGTATCTGGGTCCAGGTATTGCAAAATACAATGCCCTGGCGTGATTTCCTGCCTCACTGTCGCTGAACTGGCCCCATCCCCGAGGCAGCTGAGCCCTGTGGTCAGCAACCCCCTGCCTGCTCAGCTGGACCTGGGCTTCGGTCCTGGCTCTCACCAATTCGTAAAGTAGAAATTGTAAAAGCCCCTTCCTCCTACAGCTTTCATGGAACCCAAATGGGATAAGCCACGGTTCCGGGCACACTTAAGTTCTTCCCACAGACTGCCTTCTTATTTTCCTCTCCAATTTCTTCCAGGCCACACTTGCTTATGCTCGCTCACTCCGAGTTCTTTTCTGTCTCACGGTGATTGCGTGGGTTACGGTATTTTCCTGGACTTGGGTTCTTGCCTTTGCCCACAGTGAATGTCGAGAGCTCTGCTCATCTCCTCGGATTTGCAACCCCACTTGCTGTTGATGAATGCTTCCAAAACGTGCTCCTGTGTTTCTTCCATGTCCAGGTGACACACAACTCCCAGCTGATGGAAGGCACCCCCAGGCAGAGGAGGGAGGGCAGGTAAGACTCACTTCGGGTACAACGCTGTATTCCTAAAATTTGTAGTTGTTTCCAAAGGACTCTTGAGAAGATATTTTGACTAGGAAACAATGTTTTACCACAACAAACATAGCAGAGAGCTCGAGGAAAACCATTCAAATATGTGTGTTATGCCTATCTAGAGGGATTCATCTATTCTTTTTTCTAAAATTAAAACTACAAGCAGCCAAACAGGGTTATAGTTTCAACCTCAGGGTTTAGGTTCCAGGCAAACAAGTAAAATGAGTGAAACATGCAGAGATTAAGAAAGACACATCAAAGGGCAAGAAAACTCAACAAATCTGAAAAATTTCCCTGCCCCTCTTTTCCCCCATTCACTGTTGTCAGTATCTATCTTATCATTCAATACCAAATTCCTAAATACTGTTCCGCATCTTCTGCCTCCATTTTCTCACCGTTCAGTCCTTTTGCAACTATCTGCAAAAAAACAGACTGCATCTGATTAGAATTAACTTTGATTAATTCGTGTTAAGTTATCAAGTAAAGACTCAACAGCCTTTCCATGAACCCCATTAGAGTGAAGTTTCACACCTCTCATCATGCAGCCCGTTTTAGTCTCTTTTTCCTACTGTTTTACTCCAGGCTGTCACTCAGAAAAGCACCGTTTAGTGAAGACTAGTTCCTTAGGAGACAGACGTTCTTGGCTGGACTCCATTTTTATAACGGTATTTCCCCCACTGGGGAGAAGATCCTCAACTTTTTACCTCAGAAACGTTGCTTTTCACCGCAAGGAAAGGGTTACTTTTCTTTCAGGAAGAGATTTTGTGAAAACGAAAAAGAGCAAAGGTAGCGAGGACCAGCTGATCCCTCTGCTTCTCTCTGAAAAGACTTCTCTCCTGACCCCCGCCCTCCACCTGCCTTGTGCTGAATGTCAGGGCAACACACCTAGAAAAAGGAGATCCCAGGGCTTCCTGCCACGCTCTGGACTGCGGCTGCTGCTCCGGGTTTGTGGGTGAAGATGGAACCGGGAGGGACAGGACCCACCCACAGCTGCCCCTACCCGCCCCTCCTGCTGCTGAATGAAAATGGGATCAGTGCAGCGGCACAGTCTCAAATGTCAGCTCACACTCCAAAGAGAATGTTGCAAAGAACATCTCCTGCCCACCCCACCTCCGCCCCAGCCCCGACTCCTAATCCACAGGGCAAAATAATCAGCTATTGGGCTGAGCGTGGTGGCTCATGCCTGTAATCCAAGCACGGGGAAGGTTGAGGTGGGAGGATAGCTTGAACCCAGGAGTACTAGACCAACCTGGGCAACACAGGGGCACTCTGTCTCTACAAGTAAAAAGCTAAGAAGAAATTTGCCGGGCATGGTGGAGTACATCTGTGGTCCCAGCTACTCTGGGCTGAGGCCAGACAACGGCTTGAGGCCAGGAGCTAGAGGTTACAGTGAGCCATGAGTGTGCCCCTGCACTTCAGTCTGAGCAATAGAGTGAGACCATCTTAAAAAAAAAAAAAAAAAAAAAAGCATCAAATTAACTGTTGACTCTTTTAGATGTTTTTCCTAGCGTTCCATTTTGTATTTTAAGTAGCACATTTATACTGCTGCTTTCTGATTATTTAGGGTTAGAAGCTGGGTACTGACTCTCTCCTATGGATAATTCAGTGGATGTATTCCTCAAACTCCACTGCACGTGCACACATACACACACACACACACACACGGTCACAACCACCGTCCAAAGTAGACTACAATTTCCTTTCTTTGTACAGATTTTTCTTTTTGTTTTATTTTTCCTGGCTTTCATAATTTTCTTTCACCTATCACTCCTCTGCACCCAAACTTTTCGTTGGAGCTAGAAGATTCCTCAAGACGCAGGGAAGCACATCAGCCCCTTTCATTAAGGGCTGGAAGAGTCTCTCCATCCTGCTCCCCCAAGGCCAGGTCCCCAGCTCTCCCGGGGGCTCCCCTTCACCCTTCCCCTGCTGGCACTAGCACTTCTTCCATGTCTGGGACTGTACTTGGGATCCTCCCTCATTCTCTTGTTTGAAACACAACGCCAGTTAGCTTTTGGGGAAAAAAATGCACACAAGATCTTTCATTGAAACTTTGAATGTTTGAAAACACTTTTAAATCTTACTTTGACTTTAGAAACCTTAGACCATGTTTTAGAAATAATTGAAAGAATGTGAGTGTCAGAGTGTGTGTGTGTACATTATTGTTGGAACTGAAATAATCCCAATCTGAAAACCATTAATGAATTCAGGGGTCCTGGGTTGGGGCTGGACAGTTTTCTGAGAGGAGAAGGCTCCAGGCTCCATCCACCCCTTGGAACTGGAGAGGAAAGGGCTGGCAGGCCCTGCATGGGGCTCCGGGTTTGGGAAGACGCCTGCCCGCGTCCTGAGCTGTGCAGGCGTCTTAGGGACCACAGCCCCGCCGGGTAAGGCCTCCAGCTGAGCTCCCTGCCTGCTGGCCTGTGTGGGGGTCCAGGGAGCAGCTGCACATCTGTGTGTGGAGGGGGCAGCAGGGGTCTGTGCATTCTGCTTTACATCAAACGCAAAGACAGACTCATCCCACTTCCCGCCCTCCCCACCGTCCTGGCCTTCAGGGCTTCTCGGTTCTGATTTCTCCTGGGCTTGGTGATGCCCCTCCACCTCCCGTGTGGGTTCCCCTTCCTGAGGCCGTGGCGTTAGTTCCCTACATTCGCGAGGCCAGGCCACGTGTCCAACCACCTTCAACTTCCAGAATCACCTGAACTCACCTGTTGAGCTTTCATCCCCTTTTCGGTTCTCTCTCTCCTAAGTGCCTGCTTATTTTTATTCCTTTATTTTATGAAAGCTCCGAGCAAGAGGGGACTCAAGTGAGCCTGTTCAGATATGTAAGATGAACTGGAAGCATATGGATTGTATATTAAGAAAAACAAAAGAAACATTGGTTTAAAAATATATTGGACCATTTTCCCATTATGTTCTGACAAAATAAATTCTGTCTACACTTAGAGGCTCGAGGCAGACAGAAGGAAGTTGCAGGTCCTTCTGGGGCTTTCTCTTCTCCCCGGTGGCTTCTCTGGATTCCTCTGTGGATTCTTCCTCCCTGATTTTATTTGGGGTTGCCAGAAAACAAACAACAACGAACACACACATGCACACATGTGCACAGACATACACACACATGCACAGGCATACACACACATGCACAGACATACACACACATGCACAGGCATGCACACTCACACACGTACACACTCACACGTGCACACTCATGCACGCACACAGGTACACACATGTACACTCACGCACACACATGTGCATACACACACACTCAGGCACGCATGCACACACAAGCAAGTACACACTATCACAGGCACACATGCACACACATGCACAAACACGTGCACACACAGACACACACAACTTCTCAGAACTCCCAGGACCCAGCACATGCCTCATGGTCTTTTAGGGGATGGAGGCTTGAGGGCACTTACTGTTCCTCCCTGACACCCACCACAACTTGGTCTGCCATTAGGCCACTTCAGTAAATACTTTTATATCTAAATTTTCTACAGGAACTTTTCACTTTCCCTTTCTGATTTCTCCTGGTATTTTATTTCTTCTGCTGCTTTCTCTGCCTCTGGGGACAGCTGAGGCCTCAGCGTCATGATCTCTCAGCCTGGGAGGCCTCCCTTCTGCCTCGAGTCCCATGTGCCCAGGCCCCAGCACCCAGCACCCAGCTCCTCCTCCCTGCAGTTGGCATCCTTGCAATTTCAATTTTGCATCATTCCTCCTGTAGTCTCTGGCTCCCCCAGTAGACACTGTTCCAGGCCCCAGCACCGAGCTCCTCCTCCCTGAGGCTGGCATCCTCACGATTTCACTTTTGCATAATTCCTCCTGTAGCCTCTGGCTCCCCCAGTAGACAGTCACTGCTCCGTGTGCAGCACCATGACTGGCTCTAACCAAATGGCAGGTTCCTGACAGATATTCCCAGGAAGCAGCTACCCCAGCTCTCCGTCCTGATACACACAGGTCCCTCGTTACAGACATTCCGCGATGTGCAGCCACCTCCACCATTTCAGGTGGGAATTTTAAAATAAAATGTATGTTCTTCTTTTGATGTTAATAACTACAGAGTTATTTAAAATCCTTATTGGATTTGATCTATGAAAATAACACATTAATTTTCAAATATATAAAAAATACTCCCAATTCTTAAATGCGTGTTTTTATGGAAATTTTTATACATTGTTTGAATACCAAGTTTGTGCTCATCGTGTTAAATACTGAAACTCAAGTGATATGTGGCACCCCGTGGTACACAGTGCACCACATAGGCCTTTTAATGTCATTCTATTTTATTTTTATCATGGTCTCCTCACACACATGCCCACTCGGGTGTTTTTTCTTTTGGTTGGAATAGGAAGAAGTCAACCCTGGTGTTTAAGAGTGGCTTGCAACACTGAATTTTTGTTTCTATTAAGACAACTGATATCTTTCTGTTTCTTTTTTCCTCAAATAACTCTGTCCCCCTCAAGTGGTTTGAATTTGTGTCCCTGCCCAAATCTCAGGAGAATTGGGGGAAGAGCCTGGTGGGAGGTGATTGGATCATGGGGGTGGATTTCCCACTTGCTGTTCTGGTGACACTGAGTGAGTTCTCACGAGATCTGGTTGGTTGAGCGTGTGTAGCACTTCCCCTTTCACTCCCTGTCTGCCCTGCTCCACTTTGGTAAGACATGCTTGCTTCCTTTCCACCTTCCACCATGATTGTAAGTTTCCTGAGGCTTCCTAGCTGTGCTTCCTGTAGAGCCTGCAGAACCATGAGCCAATTAAACCTCTTTTCTTCGTAAATTACCCAGTCTCAGGTAGTTCTTCATAGCAGTGTGAGAATGGACGAATACACCACTTAAGGCATCTTTCGGTCACGGTTTTGGCTGCGTGTGGTTGTGTACACCTGTAGTCCCAGCTACTCGCTGAGGTGGGAGAATCATTTGAGCCCAGGAATTTTCGAGGTTGCAATGAGCAATGATTGTGCCACTGCATCGCCAGCCTGGGCAACAGAGCAAGGCCCTGTCTCAAAAAGCAAAACAGAAACGAAGCAAAACTAAAAAGAACAGACAATTCCACAGACCCAAGATCTAGCTTGAGACTTGGCACAGTGAATGCGCTGAAATTCAGCTGTGATTGTTTACCTGTTGTTCCGTCCCCAGTCTGAAATGTTAAAAACATGCAAAATAGAAAGTTACATTCTTTATTATTTATTTATTTATTTATTTATTTATTTGAGACAAGGTCTTGCTCTGTCCCCAGGCTGGAGTACAGTGGCTTGATCTTGGCTCACTGTAACCACCACCTCCCAGATTCAAGCACTTCTCCTGCCTCAGTCTCCCGAGTAACTGAAACTATAGGTGCGCACCACCATGCCAGGCTAATTTTTGTGTTTTGATTAGAGATGGGGTTTTCACCATGTTGGCCAAGATGGTCTCGATCTCTTGACCTCATGGTCCATCGGCCCTGGCCTCCGAAAGTGCTGGGATTACAGGCATGAGCCACTGTGCCTGGCAGAAAATTACATTCTTTAAAAGTCTATGTTTTAAGCAATTTCATTGTTTTACCACTTAATTACAGCTTATTAATTTGCTTGATTTTAAAATAACCATTGAAGTTAATAAGGTCTATAATGTGGCAACAAATATTTCCCATGGTACAAATTCTCTAATGCGGGGAAATGCATTCACATGGCAAATACTATGAAGAGTAAAATAAAATAGCAGTTTTTAA